ATAAATAAAGATAATAACATTAAAGACAAAATTACATTGCAATAGGCCTACTTTTTCAAAACTTGATGATTTTACCTTTCTGTACATTTTGTATACAAATTCATTAAATAATTTTGCTTGTAAATGTCTATTTGCATCACGTTTATTACAGAAAACACATTATTTGATCAATTTACATTGTGCCCCTAAAGTTCTTTGTGCGCTCCTTACTTTTTCAACTTAGGAGCACATGTGCTCCTTGGGAAAAAAGTTAGCGTCAAGCCCTGAATGTAAAGAATACGAACATTTCATGCCAAGTTATGAAACCCTAAAATCTCTTACAACTGCTTACCCCTCTCAATAAAATCATCTATAATGTGAAATGTAAGCAGCAGATAACGTAGTGAACTAATCTCAACGATATATTCTAAAAATACAATAATTTCAAGATTCTAACATTCATCAACCACTGTGGCATGGAAGAACAAGCAATAACTCGGATAATTTCGTGTCTTGACCGTACCTTTGCTCTGAGGGGGGTTCTGGGTGCGATCACGGAGGATGTTGATCTGGTGCACAGCTCCGAAGGGCTCAAAAAGCTCTTTAAGTTCTGTTTCTGACCAGGACCGCGGGATCTGGCCCACAAACATCTTGATGGAGTCTGGGTCGGGCTGGTCCAAATGCTCCAGCGACCCGTTCATTTTGCTGCCGTTGCCGTTGCTGTGAGAGGAAAAAAACAAAAAGAAATCTGTTGTTAGTTTACTCGGGTCTAAAACAATATTCAGTTCTGATGTTAAAATATTTTGGGGTATGCAGTTTTATTTCGCTATTTTCCTATAATAAAATTTAAACATATTGTAATTCAAGTGGCTTATGAGACTTCTGCACCTCTTCTTGGCTCTGTTTTCAGGCTTTAGAAAATCTGGCCTGTCACGGAAAACTTTGGCCAATCACAGGTCATGTTCAGAGAGAGGGTGTTACTATTTACTGTTCCACAAATGCAGGCATGTGTGCATGGCCCTTCAGATGGTAAAAGCCTGATTCAATGGTGGAAAATTAAGCAGGAAAAGTCACTCTTCCAGCAGTGGCAACAACTACCTACACTGCAAAGCAACCAAAGAAGGAAGGAAGACAGACTTATCCAAAAGAGGGTCTAGCAATAAACAAAATAAAGCATGTGTTGATATCGGCGAAGTGTTTCAGAAATAGAAGGAAAACGTTGCAAATAGTTTAGCTTGCTAACCTTAGCCGAAGGGTCAAAGCTGCGGCTAATAATAAGTTTGTGTTTATGAAGCTAGCTAGAGCCTTAAAATCACTGTATGTCCTCTGCCTCACTTCCTGCCACTACAGATGATGTTGTCAGGAGGAGAGTGGGAAACTTTCTGTTGCTGCTGTTACACAGGTTAGACCTAGCACACGGTCACTGTGAAACCTGGTGCTCCCATCAGTCCCATAATCCTTTTTTGTTGAGCGGCGACTGTTTTGCTGTGCCTCTAGCAGTTCAAGTGTGTAAATTTGCCAAAACTAACCAATAGAACTCCCAACCTTTAACAAAAAATGGAGGAGGGTGGATTTTCAAATTCTGACACCCTCCTTCTTCTTCACAAAACTGCCTACCCCAGTTTTAATCACCAAACTGCATTGTTTCTGACACACGCTGTCAAAAACGTTGTCAGTAACATGTGGTTCCAAATAACTGACATTGTAATGCATCTGACAGCTAAATAAAAGCATATGGCTTTGAAAGGCAGTTTCATGTCATTTTATAACCAATTGTGAATCTCTGGGCTGTGGGCATTAAGAGTAGTAACAACGGTGTCACCAATTTTGGCAATATACATAATTATCAGTGAAACTATTTACATGATTTTAGTAAGACAAAGACAAATAAAGCTCCATACTATCATAAATTAACCTAAATACTTCCAAATAGCTGACACAACTTTTCTAATCAATTATTTTTGACAGTTTTAACAACACTTTTGTTTGCTAATTGGCCTGCACGGAGATAGATTTTTCATTGTCACCATGCAGGCGGACTGAATGTGTGAAAAACAATAACCCACACACACTGAAATCAGGCTATATCATGATTCATTTAATGGGCTTTAGTTTGTGTCTTTATGGAAATCCAATGTGCTTTGATAGTTTTCGTATATTTCAACTTTACTACAGACGAGTCAAGTGGTTTATAGACCATAAAATCCTTTGCAATGTGACCATTAAACACGTGTGCACTGAAGCAGATGCTGAAACAATATATTGTTTACAATAATGGATGGTGCAACAACTCTGAATTGCATAGTCAACAACATATCGAGTAACAATCTGGGTGTTATAGGGTAGTAGAGCAATGATGGAGTTGAGTGAAATACTAAATCGTGCCATTTTCCTTTGAGGCAAGCCTCAGGGACAGAGAATCAATACCCACCAGTGTACCTACGACTACAGCACCTTTGTCTCACTCACTCACACACACAAAATCAAGCATGAACATTTCCAGACAGGTGTAGAGATGCTGGAAACCAGACATAAGGCCGGAGCAACAGCCATCCACGGGTGTTGAGGCAGAGAAATCATGTTAAACACAAAGCCTCGCTCCAAACACACAATGTAGAACCACAGAGGATCAAGGAGGGCAACAAAATCTGTGTACACTGGTACAAAAGATGTGCTGGCACACAGAGTACTAAAATCCTTAAAACAACATTGTAAAAATGTGACTGACAAAAAGATACACTAATGTAAAAACAATATCACACACAGACCTTTGGACGCGAGCCATCCATCTTTTACAAATTGAGCCCAGCCGCTCTGCAGAAACACCAAACTCCTTGAGGGACCTAAACGACATGCTAACAAATCACACTTCAGTTCTTGTTCTTCCGAAATCCAACTCCACACCTCAGTATGAATGTTTTGTTTCCTGGAGGCTGTCAATACATCCGAATGATGACATATAAACGGTTAACCAAAAAAAAAACAAAAAAAACAAAACAAAACACACAGCTCCAGTGAAACAAAAGCCTCTCTCCACCAAAAAGGGGTGAGTGCCCCCCTCCCACTAGCTCCGACAGCTAAAGGAAAACAGCACTGCAGAGGTCTAAACCTACAAGAATCGCTGGTTAGCAGACAGCGATTTTGCGGTACATCTCCTCCTCAGGCGCTTCGGCGATGGTACAGAGAGTAACCTACAGCTTCTTCACCACAGCAGGGGAACAATCACATATTGTTCGCCCATGCTGGAGAACACTATTCACCGTTCCTCTACAGCACAATGGGCCAAGTCAGAGAGATGCTTTGGAACACATCGAAGGCTACGTCTGCTAAGGCCACAGCACTGGTGGGTGACACCATTTATCCAGTTTTACCAGTGCCACTCCGACGCCATTTTGCTGAGGGCCCTTTGATGAAATCTCGCCGTAGAAAACAGCAAATCTCACTTGGAAAAAAAAACTGGATTTGTGTCACAGCGTTCAAAAACACCAAGGCTCAAAATCAACTCCCTTTGACAGCATCTCCTTAACATTCATTAGACGCTCCAGCCCCCTGCAGCTGTGCATTGTCTCCTCAGCTTAAGAGACTGCTAAAGAGAAATGTAACTGCAATAATACATTCTTTGGCCTTCCTACACACCCACACAAAAATGACAGCTTTAATTACTGCAACAATGTCTATATATTGTACATTTTTACTATTCCAGTAATAAAAAAAGCATTGATTCAAACTGTCTGCCTCAAAGTGTTGTTACACTGTAAAGTGGACGAGTGCACAGACAGTAAGCACTGTCACATTAAGAGCTGTATTGACTGCTCTTGTTAAAACTGGAGGAAAGAGAGAAAGAGCAAGAACAGACAGGAAGGTGACTATAAAAGCTAAGGATGCATTTCAAGTCAAAAGTGTCTGTGCTGCAGCACTAGCCTCGACAAATCGGTCGACATTTTGGGAAATACGCTTCTCTTTCTTGCTGAGAGTTATGGCTGATTTATAGTTGTGTGTACACTCTGTGGTGTAGACTAAGCCATTGTGAGCATTTATACTTGTGAGTGAGAGACATCCCTCAATTGGGACCCACGGTACAATACCAGTGAAAGTATCATGGTTCTGAGTAGTATCAGGATACCACAGCGAAAATGAGGCAGATGTGCCTTTTGTCATTTATAAAAAGATAAATCATTTTTCTATAATACATAAATGATATTTCAATGGAATAAATTACTTATTGACTTATTCATACTTCAAAAACAGCATCAATAAGTGATTAACATAGGGGGGATCAAAATAAAATAAATAAATGGAATAAAAATCAACCAGCCACCCTCCTCCCCTGACAAGTACCTTCATAAGTAACGAACAGTCCCTAAAGTTTCTCATCTGATACAACACATACTGTGTGCAACCATGACTCAGCTGTTCAGGTACTTTTGGGCAGTCATGACAACAAGTTATTCACCTGGAGCCGGACTTCTTCGCCAGTAAGCCGTTATAATGCGCCGCCGTATTTGACAGGAATACGTATTCCTGTCCGTGTCTGTGACCCCAGTTCAACCCACAACCAGCGGGATTCGCCGTTACTGATTATCACCACACTGCCGACATTTTACTCTGTCCGTCACCGCACGCTGTTTGATTGCGTTATCAAAACACGCCGCTATTATTCGGCCTTGCTTTTCACTTATTCCACTGAATACCGAATGTGTGTTTTTTTTGCAATATTCGGCCGAATATATTTGGTGCATCCCTAAATAGGAGCCTTCCCCCACTCCCCTCACCACTGCTCTCCTCACTATACTGGCTGCTGCGCTGTCCAAGTGCACAGATGTCTCAGAGTGGTGGTGCATTTGCAAAAATGTTTTGAAGGAGCAGCAGCAGCGGCAATAATTTAGCAGCGGCGACATGCCGCTGCTAAATGAATGTAGCGGAAACACTGTGCTCTATTTTGAGGGGGCTTTATCGTCTTCACAATTTCCTGTTTTTATCTGCGAAATACAAGTAAATAAAAGCTTAATTTCCACTGAAATAAATGTTTTTAAGCTTACAGAAATATACAGGGGTAGGTCTGACTCGCAACAAGGTGTGATTACATTTTTGGGGAGGCACATATCAGGCTACAGTGGGTAGGCATTTACACAGAAGTATGAATGCTGCTTTAGATGCAAGTACTGATACCACTTGTATTATCTGTAAGGGAAATATGAAGCTCACACAAACAGGCAGTTAAAAAAAACTCTATCACACCTCTAAAACACAGGCCAAGAAACAGTCCAGCTCCTCATCAAATAAACGCATTTCCCAAAATGTTGAACCATTCCTTTCTAAAGGGCTTCTAATTATCTATGGCTAGCCCTGTTAGCTTAGCCACCAGGAGGTGACAGCTGCCCACAAGGATCAGTATCTGCCAGTAGCATATCAGTTTTAAGTGACACCTGCTGACACTAAGGAGTATCTATCAGTGGAACGACACTGTAAAGCCTTTAAAGCTGCATAATGTTGTGTCAATACAGCAGTGACATTATGTCAATACAAAGCTGCTGGGATCCACCCTAAACAACTCAGTTTTCACAGGAATTATATATTTTTCTCTCTTAGGATAAATTTGTTTCAATGAAAAATATTCACAACAGGTTCAGTGAGGTCAGGGTAAGCAGGACATTGTTTCAGCAAAGGCAAATTGCTGTTGGTACTTTATTAAAAAAAATTCCCAAAGATTAAAGCAGCAT